TTAAAAGTTTTACTTTTTTTCTTTTGAAAAAAAGAGCTAAGCCTTTAATTCTTGCAAAACATCCTATGTTTTCCTAACTTCTAAGAATAAGTCTATTTCATACTCAATATTTAACATCCATCAGTTATTGTATATGCAAGAACCATCAAGAGAATTGTTAGCATAGGCAGCATTTTCAATAAATTGATATTTGATATGAATAAATTGTAGACCTATCTCAATACTCTCTATGTATCTATAGGGACCAAAAACTTGGTACAGTATATTATATATAATCAAGTAAAGTATATAATCAAGTTGAGTATATGATGAATAGACTAAAAAGTTTATTGGATTCCATGCTGAATTCAAGTCACCCTGCTCTGAAAGTAACTGTGAGGGACGAATCTAACCAATCTAGTCTAAAAAATGGGTAGAACACGTCGGATAACTTTCAGAATTGGTCTGAACAGAAGGAGAACCCGTATAGCCAAATAAGGGTGAACCAATAAAAAACAAAGTAGTAAAAGTCAAAGCGCATTCACCATCCGAGCCATGTGATCAGATCTTGGATGTCACAGTCGACTGATCTTTTTTTATTCTTATTTTTTAGGTTGTCTTTTGGCTGGATGTGGGAAAATCTGGATATTTTTTTCTATAGAGTGTAACATAACATAAGGTAAGGATAAAAGTTGGGCTCTAATACCAACTGGTGCAAGACAAGTAATGGTGAAACTAACTTGTCCAGCAATAATTCAGAAATAGAGAAAATTTAAATGAGAAACAAAAGAAAAAAGATAAGTTAAAGAACAAGATGAAGAAATATGTGAAGAAATAGACTAAATAAGTTAGGTTACAAAAAACAATAATCAAAAGAACAAACATAGAGACAGGTAGGAATAAAACCTAACAAAGAACATCTAAATTCATCATCTTTTTTTTTTCCTTAGCTACTTACCTTTATATAGGCATTAATTACAATTAATAAAAAAAATATAAAAGATGAAAACTAAAAGGTTCTAATCCTCTAATTCTTAAGATCTACGTAAATAGGAAACTAAAATATGTCAATGTCTAACTTAAATAATCTAAATAACTTAATAATACAAAATAACTATTATTATTACAAAAAACTTCTTTAATTGAAAATTTGTTCCAAAATAATATCTTCCTGTTTTGCAATCATTTATCTTTTTGCTCTGCATGAAAGCCTGTAAACTATGCATGAAAGGTTTATTGTTTAATGATTATAAAGATATCCAAGCACATCCTAAGATATTCATGTCAGAGGTGCCTAAGATATACACGATTGGTACCTGGCAACTGAGAATCAGATTGCTCATCTGATAATTCCCCAACAACCAACTTTGCCCTTCGATCTACAACTTCCAATAAATCTGATTGACAGAAGTAATAACTTTAGAATTATAAAATAGATATTTAGAAATATAATGCTAATCTATATTCTTATAAATCACAATGAGCAAGTAAAGAAATTAAGCATGTAAAATTCAACAAGGCAATGAACAATTTGATTTAGGGTACTTTTGCAGAATATGAAAATAAACAGAAGACACAAATGAAGAAGCACAA